GATTGGTATTGATTTTATTATTGGTAAATCTTCCAAAGCTCACTTGATTCAAAAAACTTCCGTAGATCATTCAAAAATCGATCTCTATTGGAGTCTTTTTTACTGACGGACATAGTGTAACTTTCTTGAGAGTGAATCGAAATAATAGAAAAGAGGAAAATGAATATAACAGTCTAGTAAACGAATATAAAAGTTTATTAAACGAATATAAAAGTCTATTAAGCGAATATAAAACAATATTAGTTGAAACTCTAAGCAAAGAAAAATCGATTGAAATAAATGATTCGATTGATTTCCGTTTTTTCTTTCTGCGTTCCTTTTCAAAACATCCTTTTCAAAGTCTTTGCGAGGAGAATGTTTTGATTTTTGTGTAACACACACTCAAGAAATTTTGTGGATGGTGGTCCGGATTTGAAGCAAAAGCTGTTCTTTTTAACTGAGAAAGGGCAATTTCTCAACGATCTTTCCGGAAGAGCAAACTTTGAGACATCCCAAAACCAAGCCAATTGTTTTTATCAAAAACCGAAAAATCTACCATAGAAAAACTCTCTAATTTTTATTTTAAAAAAGTTGGTGAGAATCGCTCAAACTACAAGATTACAGATATTTACAAAAAAGCGTCTTGCCGAAATTATGCTTGTAGTTGTATGTCCCAACTGATGCATCAATAAAAAGTGTTTGCTTGCAAAAACTAAGCTTTAGCTTTTTGAGTTTCTAATTGAGAAAATCAATAAGGATGAGAATAATTGAAAATAGTCGATTGCTAGAATTTTCATGATAAAATCTTTCAGTGTTCAGACTAGACATGGTTTACGGATCGGATCGAATCAATTCGAATCGAATCGAATAAAATCCGATCCGAAAAAGTGGAATTTCGGATCTGATCCGATCCGACCCCGAGAACTTTTCGGATCGGATCAGATCGGATCGGATAAAATCCAATTCGATTGGATAAAATCCAATTCAATGGTGTAGCAAAGCAAATCGAAATTTTCGGATTGTGCTAAAGTATTTTACCCTTCAGTTTCTTTCTGGGTTAGGCCTAGGTATGACCAGGCTTTGATGAGGATCAGGTCACCCTAGGCCAGATCACTCCAGGCCAGGCATTCAGCCCAGTCAATCAGTTCCGATCATCCCTCACTCTTTGGCTTTTGGTTCTTTAGTCTGGACCTGCAAAATCTAGCACCTAGTTTGTATTGCACAATGTTGATCCGATACCTATCCATCCAACAAACGACACGGGAAAGAACGTACAATAGAATGTCGCACGAATTTGTTGACGCCTTTTCTCTGACTTTTTGAAAGAAAGATCTCTATCCAGCCCTTTTTGCAAGAGTATGACCTTTCTTTGAATTTCATTTCAACATCAAATTTCTTAGCAACACACATTTGTGTATAAGAAAACCTTTGAAACCGTAAGTTTCAGTTATCGACTGATCGATTAGAGAAATCATGGGCTACCATGATACCGTTCAATACCGTTCAATCAACACGATTGGGAAGAGCAATTGGATCAACCCGGTAATAGTTTTCTTATTAATGAAAAATTTTTGAGAATTAGTTTTTGAGAATATTTGAAAAAGATTTGTAAATTTGTGCTTACGAAGGTATTTAAACGTGCTCTGTTCAATAAAAAAAGAATTAGACTCCCGCATGCTTCTATATTAAGATACAGCACTTTTCCTGGGTGAAGCACTTGATATGAAAGGCACTGTATTGTTAAGTTTTGCTGTTTTGAAATAATGGTATTGATAAGGTATTGGTATTTGTATTGTTTTGTCCAGTTCTAGTGATGGAAGACACTTGCTTGGTGCGTTGTGCTTATGTTTCGAAAGCAAAACATATTATCATATCTGAAACAGCATTTTTGTTAGCATCCATTTTCCAAACCTATCAATCAATGTTTCTTTATAGGCTATTTAGTGGATGCTAGACACGGAAAAGACACCGGAAAAAGCTCTTTTTGGGCAGAGAAAGCCAAGTGCAGACACACCGAAGAATGACACCATAAAGGGGTTTTGTCACCCAATATTTTTTCGAATTTCTCTTTCTCGAGCCATTTCTTGAAATACTCCAAAATGTTTTCCTATTCGTTCTTGCCGGAAGAGCTGAAGAATTGCATTGTTAAATCGATTCATTTAAATGACACCTCTCAAGCATTTCGGGCCAGTAAAAGCTTAGAGCGGAAAATCCTCAAATACGGCCCGTTTCCGCGGAGAATCTCGGAACTAAATCTCAGGTTCTTGTATTCCGACTGTCGAAACGATCATGCTAAGACTCTCGATGATCTGGTCTTCAACATTGAAATGAGCGATGGCGAAATCGAATTTGAAGTCTCCGGCCACAACGTCACTTTGATAAGCAAAGACAAGAAAATCCCGTTGAATGTAAAAGGAAAAACTTTCTGGGCTCTTCTGAATAATAAAATCACTTCGTTGGAATCTTGCACGATCAGCATTTGGGGTTCTCCGGTTGCTCTTGTCAGAAGATTCGTCGAGAATCTCTTTCAGGACAATGAGTTCTTGCCGAAAGCAGACTATCTATTCAGATTTCATCTTGACACCAATTTGAAGTTGGCGAAGATTATCCTTGCTCGTTTTCACGTCACTATTCGAGATTTATTGGCACTTAAAATCTTTCAGTTCTCTTTCAAAGAAAAAGAAGCCAATGAGTTTTTGGAAGACCTCATCAAAAGGCCAACCTTACAAGACTGCTATTCAATTGCTTGGGAAAATGGGTGCTGGGAAAATGGGTTGCTGCCGGGAGCCTCTATTTTCCAGGCCCCAGGAAAATTGCTCTGTTTCCGTTACGACGATTGGTTTGAATTCATGCACCTAATCCAGCAAGTGTTCTTCCAAGAAAACCCCATAGCCAGCGATGAGAAATGCTATCTGGTGAACTTGCCTAGATTGATTGACGAGGATATCAATTGGAACTGGAAGCATCGGGAAATGTTCGACTGGGAGCAAGGGTGTGAGGAGTTGAGAGACGATTCGGAGGAGGCCGCTCTCATGCGAGAAGCAGTGAAAGAAGTGGAGAAAGAGCTGGAAACAAGGCAAGTGGATAGGGAGCTATTCATCGAGAAGTCTATTGATCGTTTAAATTCAAGCGGTTCATCATATGAGGGCTACTACAAGAAACGATTCGTGAACAACGAGGCCATTTATTTTATCACGTGCTCCGAGAAAGAATTTTTGCGGCAAGATTCGGCATTCGACGATCTCGACCACTATCCTTATGGGTCACGGAAGTACACTCTCCAATGTTTTGTTAAATATCGAACGATCAAAGCACTCGACCGAACACCTCAATGCGAGCTGGAACTCGATTGACCGACTCAAATAGGTGTGAGTTTTGAGCCAGACAGGGGAAGGATCCAAAGACGACCTGAGAGCCTTTAATGGGAATAGTTGGATTGCCTTTGGATCCTCCACTTGTGAGTCATTTTTCTTGTAGAACTAAAACAATGAAGGGAAAAAACTTGACCCGAATAACATTGTTTCCAAAAACTAGATTCCACAGTAAACCATGAAATTCTGAATATTACCAAATTATGGGTTCATTTTAGATGATCCAGTCACTTCTACCTTCTCCATTCTCCATTACGGGCCACCCCAGCCGCTATTCCGGTCGACTAAATCATCTAAATAATCTTATAGTATTGTATTCATATCTAAGGGTGATGGGAATGGAAACAGCGCTCACATATCTTTCCAAAAATCAAAAGATTGCAAGCCTCAGCCAATAAGTGTTTTATTGTAGTGTGGTATACTGTTCGCAAGCCCGGAATCTCCTCAACAAAATATTGCAAAAAGATTTTGAATTGGGTTGATCATTGGGAACTTGAGTGTTTTTTTCGAAACACAATGATTGAACAAAAGGAACAAACAAAAGGAGTTTTTTTCTTTTATGTTATTTTGAAATAACTTTAATTGGCCTAAATTTTTAACAAAAAACATTACATGGCTATTATCAGAAACACATTTTACAGAAGCATAAAAGAACCTTTTCCAGAAAATGTTCATTTTTGATCTTTCCACTTAAAAGTCTCCCCAAATCCTCAATAATCAATCCAATTCAGAATCTTTTTGCACTATTTTGTAGAGGTGATTCTGGGCTTGCGAACGGCATCCAACACTTATTGGCTGAGACTTGCGATCTTTTTATTTTTGAAAGATGTGTGTGCATTGTTTCATTCCCACCATCCGCTCTTTGAGTTGATTATTTGCTGATTGAAGTTCACTTCTAGATTTGAATTGATATTGAAAAATGGGTTTGGCTTTTTAGTTTGGCTCAAACGTTTGACTTTTTAATTGTGCTTTTAAAGCTTCCGATTCTCGACGAAGTTCATTCCTAAAATTAACTGAAAAATTTAAATATTCAATAAACGTTTCTTTTTGACGCTTTGATTTGAGTAGTTTCCCTTTATCACCAAGCTCCTCATGGACAAATGTGGCCACGATACTGGTGTAGACTGATCGCTCCCAACTTTCTAAATTGGGTACGGTTAGACGGTTATAGATGGAAAAGCCAAGGCTTTTCCGGTTTCCGGCTTTCCTGGTTCCCCCACACAACGGGTTTAAAATCGATTTTCCAAAAATTGAAAACCTGATCAATACCAATTTTTATATGCTATCCAACTAAGAAAAATCCAAAGTTTCAGCAGAATCTGTCTACGCAAAAAAAAAAGTAAATAGGGTGGACGTGTTTCCAGGCTATTTATATATATATATATATAGATACTTTATTCAGGACCTGAGATAAAGTGCGCTAGATTTAAGATTAAAACACATGAATTCATACACATAACACGAAAAGGGCCGATAAAAAGAAACACGATATAATGTATGTAAAATGTGGGTAGCACAGATAACGAAAGCTCTAGTGGTAAAACGACAGATAACGAAAGATAACGAAAGCTCTAGTGGATCAAGGATCCACTAGAGCTTCAAGATCAAGATTATCTACAGATAATTTAAAGGTTTCGAGACTATTGGACTCTCTCAAAACTCCGGGGAGTCTTTTCCAAATTCTGACAGTTCCTATTGGAAAAGAGTTATAAATAAACTTATTGGAGGTGACTGGAATTTCTAAAACGAAAGAACCTCTCCTTGAACTAACCGTGGGATTAACTTTGAATAAATCTCGAAAAAGAGGGATAGGTTGCCTGCCCTTTACAATTTTGAAACATTCTATTAAATCCGTGACCAAGCGGCGGTGTCTAAGAGATTTAAGATCAAAAATTTTGAGTTGTTCCAGGTTTACATCTATTGACAAAAAACACGTAAAAATTTGTCACAAAACTTGAAAAAAACTGAATCACATATTATTCACATTCACTTAAAGCCTTTTCGAATGATTGTTTTTTCTTTAATTAAATGATGATTGAATGAATGACTGAATTGTTGTGGATTTGTTTGCTATTATACATTGTTCTTGTTTTCTTTTTATCGTGATTCTAGTTATGTTTAAGTTAAAATTTAAAGTAAAATGTTTTTTTAGATCTTCAGTGCTTTTATCACGAGAAATTCAATTTGAAATGTTGCGGTTTTTGGAAGAAATGGCCTGGAAACCTGTTCACCCTATTAACTTTTTTTTTGAGTCGACAGATTCTAAAGAAATTTTGGATTTTTCTTAGTTGATCCAACTAAGAAAAATCCAAAATTTCTATAAAAATTGGTATTGATCAGGTTTTTAATTTTTAAAAAATAAAAAACCGATTTTAACGTTACCCGTGGATCGTTGTGCCCCCTTCCAGTACGAGTACGTAATTTGAAAAAAACCATTTGTCTTCAAATCAAAAATCTAAGCACTAACAATTCTTAAATGATGTCCAACTAAGAGAAAAAATGCAAAAAGAATCGATTTCGACTTGTCAATTTTTTGTTGATAGGTCGAGAAATTTTGTCTTTTGACCTAATCAAAACATCAACGGTGCTGGCCATCGCCGAAGGCTCTCGGGTCATGTTGAGGCGGAATCTCAACGTAGCTGATGGGCTGGTCAACGGAATGACTGGTGTTTTGAGACAAATTGAATGCGACCCTGTGACAAAAGCGCCAATTGCACTACATATTAAATTTGACCGCATCGATCAGGAGCAACGAATTCTCAAGGTTTTGCGAGCTCGAAAGAAAAATTCTGATTCCACCATTTGTCTTTAGGTGAGCAGCGTCTCTGATTCTGGCAACGATGAAAAGACGACCCGACGACAATTCCCAATCATTCTCGCTTTCGGATGCACCGTTCACAAATGCCAGGTAATTCAATAGGCTTTTCAGTGTGCAGTGGTGTCTCATAGTTTACCCTACTTTTGCTGCTTGCCTATCTATGAACTGTAACTTGCCTTAAGCGGCGTAGTGCTTGATTACATTTGGTCTTTCAACCCTCAACACTCAATAACAACCCATCATTACACACTGTCGGCTGCTCTCATTCAAACCGAACGTTTCTTTGCACCAGGTCAAACTTCACCAACTTTGAGACGCCATATCTACAGAAGTACTCGACAGAACCCATAAGTGTTATGTATTCTGAAGGCTCAGGTTGAGCTCTACACGATGGTATCGGTTTTTCGATATGTTTTCTATTTTATTCAGGTTTTTGCCCGTCTGAACACCAAAGTTGAAACCTAGAATTTCAAAGTTTCAATTTTCAAAGTCACTTTTCATCGCGATACCGTCGTGCTGAAAGTGTGTTTTATGGAATCTACGCAAAAAGTTGGCCCAGGAAAGTGGAATTTGAATAATTGCAACTGGAATATCTTAGGAGAATTGATTAGGTCAAAGGACACAACTCGACCTATCAACAAAAAATTGACAAGTCGAAATCGATTCTTTTTGCATTTTTTCTCTTAGCTGGACATCATTTAAGAATTGTTAGTGCTTAGATTTTTGATTTGAAGACAGATGATTTTTTTCAAATTACGTACTCGTTCTGCCCCCCCCAGTACAAGTCCAAAAACCTGTAACAATAGATCAAAAATCTGAATCCTGTGAAATGTTGTGTGCACTCCAGCTAAGAAATTCGCAAAAAATTAAAAAATTCTGAGCACTCACAAAAGAGGAATAAGCGCCCGAAGATTTGAGAGTCTGCGCCCTAACATGTAGGCAAATTATCCGAACCCAAAGGGTCAAATCGCTGCAAAATCGCTGGACTTTTTTCGTTTTTTCAAATTGAATTCAATTTATGTTGCTTTAATAATGGATGCAGTTAGATTGCTTGATTTTATTAGCTGGTCATTTATCCTTTAAACAAAGCAATCTGTTACAGAAATATTAGGTTGTCCGGAATGAAAATACCCTTTTAATGAAAAACAAATCTATCTCCACAAAAAGAAAAAAAGGCGCTGTAATCCAAAAGATATTCTCCGTTGTTGGCAATAGTCTTTCTCCATTTTTCTTTCAAATCTCGGATCCCTTTGCTGAAGAAATCCTGAAGCTGCGAGTCAAAGTATTGGCTTACCCAAATTCGAACTTCGTCGTGATCCTTGAAGTGTTTCGCTGTTCGCTACACCGAAAAAATTGCAATCGAAGTTGAGGGTATTTTCATTCGGGACATCCTAATAAAAACTTAACTTTGTTGCATCGCTCACTGAAGGAATTATCACAAAGTAAACGCGAAAAAACGAGCCAAAAGTCCAAAAGTGCGAAAAAAGTCCAACGATTTTGCAGCCATTTGACCTTTTGGGTTACGGTTATTTACCCAGATCTTGCGCGCAGACCCTCAAATCTTCGGGCGCTTATTCCTCTTTTGTGAGTGCTCAGAATTTTTTAATTTTTCGCGAATTTCTTAGCTGGAGTGTAAACAAGATTTTATAGGATTCTGATTTTTGATCTGTCGTTATTCTATCTTTACTCAGGAGCGTACCCGTAGTACCTTCCCCCAAGCGCATCAATAGGGTTATACCCTAAAATTTACATTTTAAAAATTTGCATGTAACAATCTCACAAACAAACAGTGCTCATCAAAAATGTTTTATCCATCGTGATTGAGTGTTAATGCAAATGTAAATTTTGGGGGTATAAGTGATTGGGCGATAGAATAGTAATAGAATGGTAAACGTTGAGGTACGCCCAGCCAAAGTTCCAAGAAAAAATAAGCAAGTATTTTTCCAAAAGCCCCAGATTTTACCCAAAAAAAGACTGTCTCAAACGTTTTCTCTTCAATTTTTTAAACTCAAACTCACTAACTCAAACTAAACTCACTATTCATCTGTTTTACACGTTTCCAGATAAAAGCACGTATCTCCCGTATCTTTAGGCTTATCGATGTGACTGGGGCCGCTCGTGTGCGTGAAACGAGCAACTCAACAAAAGAGCTGTACTATTGCTCTTTTGAAATCATACAGAAGAAAATTCTGTTTGTGAGCTCAATATTCGAGAACGAAAGCCTCAATCATGCGCTTTCTTTTCGAGTGCGTCAGTGGGTTAACGGTGCGAGAATTTTTGCAAAAAATAATGGCAAACCAGAGTAAATAACTTTCAAAATCACAAACAAACAACTCTAAATTACCCTTTCCATTAGGTTAAACAGTAACCGTCTTTGCTACATGATTTCAAACTTCGTTTTCAAAGCGTCTAGTTTGTTGTTTGATTTGGGGTTGGTCTTATTTGAAAGGTCTACCCGTTCTCTACAAAGTCCTTTCCGATTGATGGAAAAGTTGATGGAAAAGTCCTTTCCGATTTTTTGGGAGAGTACCTTAGATTTGGCCTATTTTGACGTTTTATAGCTCATCCTAAAGCTGAATTCAAGACGAACCGCTTAGTAAAAACCGTTTTGAGATATCTCTTTTCTAAACAGTTTTTACAGCTATTTTAGTAAAGGGCGGCCGTGCCAAAAAATTACTGTTTTACTCTAAATTTTACTCTTTTACCCAATACTCTAAATTTTCTATGGTGACTCACCATTGGTGAGTGTTACCCTTGACGAATGCGTTTCTAAAAGGAATCTATTTCAGAAAACAGCCGTAATCCGACTATTAGCTTTCATTCAATCAGTTCAATTTTGATCACATTAAATTAGGGATCACAAGGCTCAGCAAACCAGACCGAATTTGGGTCCAACGAAAAGATCCAACAGATCCAACGAAGACTGACAGTTTGATTACAGTAATTCTTAAAATAGGCGCATTTCGCTTGAGAAAACACTGTTCCCATAAGAGCAAAATTTGATTGGTATTGATTTTATGATTGATAAATCTTCCAAAGCTAACTTGATTCAAACAACTTCCGTAGATCATTCAAAAATCGATCTCTATTGGAGTCATTTTTACTGGCGGACATAATGTAACTTTCTTCAGAGTGAATCGAAATAATAGAAAAGAGGAAAATGAATCTAACAGTCTGGTAAACGAATATAAAAGTCTATTAAACGAATGTAAAACAATATCAGTTGAAACTCTATGCAAAGAAAAATCGATTCAAATAAATGATTCGATTGATTTCCGTTTTTTCTTTCTGCGTGCCTTTTCAAAACATCCTTTTCAAAGTCTTTGCGAGGAGAATGTTTTGATTTTTGTGTAACACACACTCAAGGAGAGAAATTTTGTGGATGGGGTCCGGATTTGGGGGTGGTCCGGATTTGAACAAAGGCTGTTCTTTTTAACTGTTAGTTTTTTAAAGCAAACACTTTTTATTTATGCATCAGTTGGGATGAACATACTCTACAGGGTAAAGCATAATTTCGGTAAGACGCTTTTTTGTAAATATTGGGTTGGTGAGTTGAAAACTGCGGAACTTGAACTTGATGGTAAATAAAACTTTTCTTGAAGTTTTTGATTTGAACATCTCACTAAATTCAAAATTGTGAGGAAAACTTTAACTACGTTCCCCACCTCTTCGACATTCCTAACTATTGGGTTGGTGAGTTGAAAACTGCCGGACTTTGAACGGACTTTGAACTAAAATTTATTCAACATAAAACCATTAATTCATTTCTATAATTTCCATTATTATTGGCGACTTCTGACCATTTTATGCGGATTCCTCTTTCGTAGTAGGATTTTGGTTTGTGTGTGAGACAAGTGTGAGACTCAAAAATGGAGGACTGGAGATGGAGACCGGAGATGTCCCAGTTTAAGCACTTTCTTCAAAAGAAGCCCATTTTGGTGTCAATAGAAAAGTTGTAGAGAATCAAAAATTAGGCTTATAGCCAAATTTCCAAGAAGATACACTTAGTAGTTTCGTTTAAAATGCAGGTTTTGGAAAATTCGTAAATTTGGCATTTCTTGAAAACCAGTTTTTGAATCATTCTGGAAATTTGGATATAAGCTTAAATTTTGATTCTCTACAACTTTTCCATTGACACCAAAATGGGTTTCTATAGAAGAAAGTGCTCAAACTGTGACCTATGACAATAGCCGGCAGTTTTCAATTCACCAACCCAATATCTGTAATTTTTCAAGCGATTCTCACAAACTTTCTTAAAATGAAAATTAGGAAGTTTTTCTATGGTAGATTTTTCGGTTTTCGCTAAAAAAAATTGGCTTGGTTTTGGGATGTCTCAAAGTTCGCTCCTCCGAAAAGCTCGTTGAGAAATTGCCCTTTCTGCTTTAGCTTTTTGAGTTTCTAATTGAGAAAATCAATAAGAATGAGAATAATTGAAAATAATCTATTGCTAGAATTTTCATGATAAAATCTTTCAGTGTTCAGACTAGACATGGTTTACGGATCGGATCGAATCAATTCGAATCGAATCGAATAAAATCCGATCCGAAAAAGTGGAATTTCGGATCTGATCCGATCCGACCCCGAGAACTTTTCGGATCGGATCAGATCGGATCGGATAAAATCCAATTCGATTGGATAAAATCCAATTCAATGGTGTAGCAAAGCAAATCGAAATTTTCGGATTGTGCTAAAGTATTTTACCCTTCAGTTTCTTTCTGGGTTAGGCCTAGGTATGACCAGGCTTTGATGAGGATCAGGTCACCCTAGGCCAGATCACTCCAGGCCAGGCATTCAGCCCAGTCAATCAGTTCCGATCATCCCTCACTCTTTGGCTTTTGGTTCTTTAGTCTGGACCTGCAAAATCTAGCACCTAGTTTGTATTGCACAATGTTGATCCGATACCTATCCATCCAACAAACGACACGGGAAAGAACGTACAATAGAATGTCGCACGAATTTGTTGACGCCTTTTCTCTGACTTTTTGAAAGAAAGATCTCTATCCAGCCCTTTTTTGCAAGAGTATGACCTTTCTTTGAATTTCATTTCAACATCAAATTTCTTAGCAACACACATTTGTGTATAAGAAAACCTTTGAAACCGTAAGTTTCAGTTATCGACTGATCGATTAGAGAAATCATGGGCTACCATGATACCGTTCAATACCGTTCAATCAACACGATTGGGAAGAGCAATTGGATCAACCCGGTAATAGTTTTCTTATTAATGAAAAATTTTTGAGAATTAGTTTTTGAGAATATTTGAAAAAGATTTGTAAATTTGTGCTTACGAAGGTATTTAAACGTGCTCTGTTCAATAAAAAAAGAATTAGACTCCCGCATGCTTCTATATTAAGATACAGCACTTTTCCTGGGTGAAGCACTTGATATGAAAGGCACTGTATTGTTAAGTTTTGCTGTTTTGAAATAATGGTATTGATAAGGTATTGGTATTTGTATTGTTTTGTCCAGTTCTAGTGATGGAAGACACTTGCTTTGTGCTTTGTGCTTATGCCTCGTTGCTTCTAAAGCAAAACATATTATCATATCTGAAATAGCATTTTTGTTAGCATCCACTTTCTAAACCTATCAATCAATGTTTCTTTATAGCCTATTTAGTGGAGGCTCGACACGGAAAAGACACCGGAAAAAGCTCTTTTTGGGCAGAGAAAGCCAAGTGCAGACACACAGAAGAATGGCACCATAAAGGGCTTTTGTCACCCAATATTTTTTCGAATTTCTCTTTCTCGAGCCATTTCTTGAAATACTCCAAAATGTTTCCTTATTCGTTCTTGCCGGAAGAGCTGAAGAATTGCATTGTTAAATCGATTCATCTAAATGACACCTCTCAAGCATTTCGGGCCAGTAAAAGCTTAGAGCAGAAAATCCTCAAATACGGCCCGTTTCCGCGGAGAATCTCGGAACTAAAGATCAGGCTCTTGATTTCCGACTATCATGCTCTCGATGATCTGGTCTTCGACATTCGAATGAGCAATGGCGGAATCAAATTTGAAGTCTCCGGCCACAACGTCACTTTGATAAGCAAAGACAAGAAAATCCCGTTGAATGTAAAAGGAAAAACTTTCTGGGCTCTTCTGAATAATAAAATCACTTCGTTGGAATCTTGCACGATCAGCATTTGGGGTTCTCCGTACGAGCGTCCTGTCAGGAGATTCGTCCAGAATCTCTTTCAGGACAATGACTTCTTGCCGAAAGCAGACTATATATTCAGATTTCATCTTGAGACCCATTTGAAGTTGGCGAAGATTATCCTTTCTCGTTTTCACTTCACTATTCGAGATTTATTGGCACTTGAAATCTCTTATTTGTCAGGCAAAGAAAAAGAAGCCAATGAGTTTTTGGAAGACCTCATCAAAAGGCCAACCTTACAAGACTGCTATTCAATTGTTTGGGAAAATGGGTGCTGGGAAAATGGGTTGCTGGAGAATGGGTGCTGGGAGAATGGAGCCTCTATTTTGCAGGCTCCAGGAAAATTGCTCTGTTTCCCTTCCGAGAATTGGTTGGACTTTAAGCACGTAATCCAGCAAGTGTTCTTCCAAGAAAACCCCACAGCCAGCGATGAGAAATGCTATCTGGCGAACTTGCCTGGAAGATCCTTGACTGAACGGGATTTCTATTGGTGCTCGCATCTGGAAATGTTCGACGAGGAGCGAGGGTGTGAGGAGTTGAGAGACGATTCGGAGGAGGCCGCTCTCATGCGAGAAGCAGTGGAAGAAGTGGAGAAAGAGATCGAAACAAGGCAATTGAATATGGAGCTATTCATCGAGGAGTCTTCTTCTTCGTACCCCTATAAGGGCTACTACAAGAAACGATTCGTGAACAACGAGGCCATTTATTTTATCACGTGCTGCGACAGCGATTTTAGCTCCTTCTGGTACCCTTTTAGTCAGGAGTGTGAGTCGACACGGGAGTGCACTTTCCAATGTTTTGTTAAATATCGAACGATCAAAGCACTCGACCGAACACCTCAATGCGAGCTGGAACTCGATTGACCGACTCAAATAGGTGTGAGTTTTGAGCCAGACAGGGGAAGGATCCAAAGACGACCTGAGAGCCTTTAATGGGAATAGTTGGATTGCCTTTGGATCCTCCACTTGTGAGTCATTTTTCTTGTAGAACTAAAACAATGAAGGGAAAAAACTTGACCCGAATAACATTGTTTCCAAAAACTAGATTCCACAGTAAACCATGAAATTCTGAATATTACCAAATTATGGGTTCATTTTAGATGATCCAGTCACTTCTACCTTCTCCATTCTCCATTACGGGCCACCCCAGCCGCTATTCCGGTCGACTAAATCATCTAAATAATCTTATAGTATTGTATTCATATCTAAGGGTGATGGGAATGGAAACAGCGCTCACATATCTTTCCAAAAATCAAAAGATTGCAAGCCTCAGCCAATAAGTGTTTTATTGTATAGTGTTTTAATAATAAGTGTTTTATTGTGTTGTATACTGTTCGCAAGCCCGGAATCTCCTCTACAAAATAGTGGAAAAAGATTTTGAATTGGGTTGATCATTGGGAACTTGAGCGTTAAAAAGTAACCGCAGGTCGAGTCTCAACCTGGGTACTTGCGCCTTCCGGCAATTATCGCTTTCACGGATCTTTTCGCTTGAACTTTTTTCAGTATATTAAGGATATACATTACTCAATACTGCCAAAATTAAACGACCAGCTTAGACCCTTAGATATGAGGATCTAAGCTCTTCGTTTCCTTTTGGCAATATCCTTAATATACTGGAAAAACTTCAAGCGAAAAGAACCGTGAAAGCCATGATTGCCAGAAGGCGCAAGTACCCAGGTTGAGACTCGACCTGCGGTTACTTTTTAACACTCAAGTTCCCAATGATCAATCCAATTGAAAATCTTTTTGCACTACTTTGTAGAGGAGATTCCGGGCTTGCGAACAGTATACAACACCGCAATAAAACACTTATTGGCTGAGGCTTGCATTCTTTTTATTTTTGGAAAGATGTGTGTGCATGGTTTCATTCCCACCATCCGCTCTTTCAGTTGATTATTTGTTGTTTGAAGTTCACTTCTAGATTTGAATTGATCTGGAAAAATGGGTTTGGCTTTTTAGTTTGGCTCAAACGTTTGGCTTTTTAATTGTGCTTTTAAAGCTTCCGATTCTCGACGAAGTTCATTCCTAAGATTAACTGAAAAATTTAAATATTCAATAAACGTTTCTTTTTGACGATCATCATTCTGCCTTTCCAAGGATGATAAACTAAAAAATGAAGCAATTTTGCATTTCGAAGTGACAATTGTGCGTAAAACCTCATGTTCATAGGATTCAAAAGCTTACCAAATCATCATAGCATTTGTTTGAAACTCGGAACTAACTTTATCTTCTCTATAGTACTTCAACGTACTGTAAAGTTCCAATATCCAAGCTTAATGCCAGTTTTCTTGAATTTCTTAAATAAGCCAACTTTTCTTGAAGTTTCGATTTGAACATGTCACTAAATCCAAAATTGTGAGGGAAACTTTAACAAATACGTTCCCCAGACATAGCAACCTCTTCGGCACTCCCAACTATTGGGTTGGTGAATTGAAAACTGCCGGACTTTGAACTAAAATTTATTCAATATAAAACCATCAATTCATTCCCAGTAATTTCCATTATTATTGACAACTTCTGTCCATTTTATAGGCAATTTGCGAATTCCTCTTTCGTAGGAGGATTTTGGTTTGTGTGTGAGACTCAAAAATGCAGGACTGAAGATGTCCCAGTTTGAGCATTTTCTTCAAAAGAAACCCATTTTGGTGTCAATAGAAAAGTTGTAGAGAATCAAAAACTAGGCTCATAGCCAAAATTCCAAAAAGATACACTTAGCGTTTCGCTTAAAATGCAAGTTTTGTGAAAAGTCGTAAATTTGGCATTTCTTGAAAACCAGTTTTTGAATCATCCTGGAAATTTGGATATAAGCTTAATTTTTGATTCTCTACAACTTTTCCATTGACACCAAAATGGGTCTCTTTTGAAGAAAGTGCTTAAACTGTGATAACGACCATTTGGATCACCAAGTGGATTAAAGCAAGAACGTCATCCACATTGATCGTGCCAATAGTACTTGTTGCCGTCTGGACCATCCAAATTAAATTTGTTCTCATCGCGGAAGATGGCCTACAAAGAAAAAAAATAGTTAACAGCTCAAGGCAGAAAATGAACTTTTCTGTAATCGATGGTGGTGTGATCCCGAGCCCAAGACGTCCTTTTTCTCTGTACGCCGGCTTGAGTTTTGGTGCATTCTTCATGACTGCTCTTTTGATGTAAGGCATACACTTCATGGCTCGAGAAAGAGTGCTTTTGTGGACAGGGAATACCTGCCAAAGTGCCGCTTTTTCAAAATACCCTTTGCCAAAATGCCGTTTTTAAAGACGATGATGTTTGTTGCAAATAAATTACAATTAAAAAAGATCGTGTAAATTCCAGAAAAAAACTACAGAAATAACGACAGAGCAAAACCGAATACATTTTGAAAAAACGGCATTTTGAAAAAGCGCCATCTTGGCATTCCCCCACGGAGGGGAGCTCCAATTTTTGCCTTGATGTCCTGTAGCGACATCACCGAATCTGACAACAGACGTCCAAGATACCGTTCAGCGCGGACCGTAAGCTTTCGATGACGTGTGGCTATTTCGAAAGCAATCGAATTGGGCCTTGATTACTTTGATTGATTTCTGATTCAATGTGGTCCAATTTGAGTTCATCTAAATTTTGTTTTGCTTTGAGGCTTGTACTTTCAAAAGCAAAATTTTGCCTACATTATTTGAATCTATTTTTGATTTTTTGTTCTCGTGTACCCGAGATGAACATGAGATGAAAAGCGCATTTTCTGCCGTTTTGTTATTAGATTCATTGTAAACAGAATTCTCACGAAGCCAAGTCAAAACAGGAGCACATTTGGCGACAATATTTTGTCATGGAAAATTTTTAGGTACAATCGAATGCGGTATAAAGGGGTTGGTTGTCGATCACAAAAGTGTGCTCTTTCAATTTAGAAGAGTTTTATCAACACAGTCATGATTTACAAAAACATTTACCTTGTGCCTTTTATTGGAGTCTTTTTCTTCAGCTCGTCTCTTGCTGATCGCACAGGTGGGTAAATAAACATTGACGAAGATTTATTTGATGTTAATGAGCGTTAAAATTTGGGAGAATTGGCCAAATTACAGGGTGGCTGACGAAATTTGGCTCGAGGTTTTTGACTCGTAGATAATACCGGCTTTTTAGCAAAAACTACTAAGCTCTTATCCAAAAATGTAGCAAAATCTCTGTAGTTTCTGGAACTTTTAATTATTTTACAAGAGGTCTCTTAGTTTTTGAGTTATGTCCTTTTCCGCCCCCTCCAAAAAAGGCCTCTGCGCCTAAAGTGATATAAACGTTCACGCTAGAATATTGTGTTACACTGCTGCTGAAAGGATGTTTTCAATTATCAGCTAAAGTCTTGTTTTAGCTAACTTGAACTGGAATCTAATAAAAAAGCGAAAAAAAAGTCCTTTTTACACACATTTTCCGCCATTACCACCATTTTCACCAGCTCGTTTTTGATGAGCACTTCTCTTGGATTCAATTACGCGATGGGACGATTTCGGTGGGGAAGTTTTTCAATTCAAATAAAATGGACATCAGATGAACTTTTAAGTCATGTGTTTGGTAAAAAAAATTGATTACATAATTTTGACTAAATTTTAGTTCGGATATTCTAGCCAATAATGCATTTTGCAAAAGATATTTAATCTCAAACTTTAAAAAAGGCGCAGGGGCCTTTTTTGGAGGCCGCGGAAAAGGGCATAGCTCAAAAATTAAGAGTCCGCTTGTAAAAATAACTATATGTTCCAGAAACTACAGAAATTTTGCTAGATTTTTGGATAAAGCTTAGTAGGTTTTGCTAAAAACCCGGTAACATCTACGAGTCAGAAGCCTAGCGCCAAATATCACCAAATAAATGCAAAAACTTAATAAACAAAGCAAAAGCATTCAAAAAGGCCAAGAACTTTCCGAGAATTAATCAGAAAACCCTTTCAAATCATTTCATTCATATAGCCTTTGCCGCACCCGCCGTTCAAGCTCTCGAGATCATCAAATCGCTGACCGAACCAAATAAAGTGTTGGTGACGAACAAGTTGTCGGCGGCGTCGATTTACCTAAAATGTGCATCGGCCGATGACACGATTACGGGTGATGGATCCGATGAGAATGGATGGTGGACATTGGAAAAGGAAAACGTGGGAATTGCAAAAGCTATTGCTTATTTCGGACTACACTTTAGTTGAAGAAATGTTATAGATTTACTTCTACTTTGAACATTTTATAAGCTAAAATAATCAACTGCAACTAATCGTTTTTTTTATTGATTCACGTTTATACACTTAATCTCGAATCTTGATTGGTAACTTTCTCAGAGCTTCTGATTATGATTTTGCTTCTGCCGATCTGCTTTTTAAAGGGAACATGTAAGAAAATTGAGAGATGTTAGAAAATAAATCTAATGGTTCTCATGTTATAATACTGTTCCATTTATAATAACTTCTAATTTTAGGCGATAGGCTGGGAATTCGGGTCACATGCGGGCGGCCGAACATGTTTCTGGTGTTATGCAAACAATAACGATCAAGCGGCTCGTGACTCGGGCAACTGGTACATTCACGTGGACGTTTGGGGATTGTAAGGGATGATTCATTTTCGAGAATAACTTTTTCTAGCAACGATTGCGGTGGTCCCGAATGGCAACCCGACATTACCTATTGGGAATTTCGCGATGATGGAGCTTATGCCGATGACGGAGATGATGGAATGCAGAAAGTCGCCGATTGGGGACCGCCACCAAGCTGAGAAATAAAGATTTTAAATGCAAATTTTTGAATAGTGACCACAAAATGCATCGTTTTGTTGAATAGATTCATCCAAAACGAGAAGTGATCGCCAATAGCCTCGTTGAATTGATGATCCATCTCGAACGACAAGCAATAGCACGATCGCATATTCTTGACGAAAGAAAAGTGAGAAAAGGGACGATCGACATTGAGCTTCATTTTATTTGAATTGGAAAACTTCCTAACCCAAATCGTCTCATTTTCGTCTCACCCAAATCGTTGAATCCAAGAGACGTGCTAATCAAATACAACGGACTGATCTCTCATGAGCATCTCTTGGAATCCTTAATTCACCTTGGCCAACTCAAGCACATCCCCTGGGTTCATTTGTTCTAACATCTCCAATTTCAAATCGAAACACAACTTCTCCATTGAAAATGACGTTCAATTCGGTATTTCAAACGGCATAACTCTTACTTGTAAATAAAAAGATTAGACTTTGTTTCAAGATCAAGAGATGCTTTACGGATATCGGAAATGTTAAAGAAATAGTGAAATTGGCTTGGGATAGCCAGGCCGTAAAGACCTACAAAGGTTAAAGCTTGAAAAAGTCAACCAATCAAGAAATCGACAACTGCTTTAAACAATAACTTCATCATCGAACAATATTTTATAAATTTATTCCAAGTAACAACGATAACGAGAAAAGCTAGCAAAACATAACAAAAAGCAACAACATTCTAATCGGTCAATATTTATAAACCTAAACAATCAAAAAAATTATAGCATTAAGCATCAAATCGATCATTTCACTCACCTGGCATGTAGAAAGCCAAAAAGTACGGGTCAAAAGTATCTTTTTACGCATCTGTAGTCTTATTCAATTTAGGCCAATTCAACAACATCGTTTGCATCCACTTGCTCCAAGAGTTTCAGCTTCATATCAAAACAGGCATTCCATCAGAAATGTAGTTAAATTCTTTTTTTCTAACGGTATCTCGCTTGACGCCATTCTACCTGTAAATACAACATTTAGACTCTGGAGATTTTATTAGCTTGTCCAGTTATAAATGCGCGTTTTTAAGATAACAACTCTTTATTTTAAAACCAACATTTTAACCGCTCAATCAACAATATATTCACCATTTGTTAACAATATTTGTTTCCATCTTCCATGCAAAGAATGAATTCCCTCCGCGTAAAAATTGGCTTGTTTTGAGGCAGAGAAGTCGGCTATCCATTTTTCGACCTCTTGAACTTCTTTGAACCTGTTTCCGGCCAAATGGTTTCGCCTTGAGCGAAATAAATGGTAATCCGAAGGAGAAATATCCAGAGAATATGGCGGATGCGGGAGAGTTTCCTAGCCCAAGTCTTCGAGTTTTTCCTGAACAATCTTTGCAGCGTGTGGACGGGAGTTATCTTGAATGTACTTTATGTTTGAAGGATCAAGGCCTTTTTGTAGCAATACATTGTTCACTCGTTCCAATTGTTGTGCATACGTTTCACCCATGATTGTTTGTCCAGGTTTAAGCAGTTCAAAATAAACAATGACTTGGGAATTCCACCAGTCAGTAAGCATTACTTTCTTGTCATGGAAGTCGGGTTTTGGTGTTGGTATTGGCTCCTCACCAGGTTCTAGCCATTGCGGTTTTCGTGTAGAATTATCATATTGAATCCATTTTTCATCGCAAGTAAGGATTTCATCGTAAAACCCAGTATTTTTTGCCAAACGAAGAAGAATACCCGGAATAGTGGCACGAGTAGCTTTATTGGCATTGCTGAGAAGATGAGGAACCCATTTCCCTTGTCGGCTTGTTTTCCCCAATTGATTTAAATGCTCGGAAACTGTTTGAGGGCTTACTCTAAATATTTCTGCAAGTTCACGTGTAGTTTGTCGAGGATCCATTTCTATCGCCTGCTTCAGTACTGCATTATCGATCGCAGGAGGTCGTCGTTGGTGGTCTTCGTCTTCCAAAGATTCATTTCCTTCTCGAAATCGTTGAAACCACTGGCTTTCCGAAATAGCATCTTCGCCAAATACTTTGCAGAGATCTCGATGGGATTCAACGGCATTTTTGCCCAATTTGAAGTCATACCAAAGACTGGCACGAAGACGAGACTTTGTCTCGGTAATCTAAACATGGAAATTAAATCAAAAATCAATTAGTTTAACGTCAAAAACACGAAAAGTTGTAATAAATAAGAAATCTTGAACAGCATATAGAGAACAGGGTTTGACAAAATTGTATAGCCCCAAGGTACGCTGTTCAAGAGCATGCGCGCATTCATAACTGGACAACCTAATAAATTAGATTTTGCAGAGAAAGAAACCGAAACATCAATCTGGTTGCTAATCGACATCAAAGACAAATCAAGAACGATTCATTTAACTGCCATGGCACGTAGAAGGCCATGAACTCAACGCAAAATTTGTGTATCCAAAATTTAAACACAATCCTTCATCGCAACGTTTCATCGGAAGCACAAAGTCGAACATTGGATACAGAAACACTCCCGTTTAAAGCACTAATCCTCGACGTGTTTTCCCATAATATCATTGGACAGCATCACAATGAGTGATGTGTGAGTTTTCCCGACAATTTATTCCATTCCCCTGTATTGTGAGAAGAAAGCGAGTTGAGTCTCAATGAAATTTTCCAATAGCTCTTGATTCTCCTTGAAGGCGTCGAAGTCTAGTTCCAGCCAAGCTCGTCTTCTCACAGACAACGGGCATTCACAAAGAATTTCTCCAAAGACTCGTCACTATTGCCAAAGAGCGTCAACTCGTTGGTGGATTGCAAATGCTTCCGAATTGTCGCGTGTACATCCTTGAATCCATCGCTCACTGGAAAGAACAAACTGCTACACGATCGAATGTTTTCAACGGAAGGAAGATGACAAACGGCATCCACACATCCATCCGAATGAAAAGAATCGGAAAACAATCGGGCAGCGTCTTGATCGAGATTTTCCAAAGGTTGAAGTAAATCTCATGCACTTGTCTTCGACTTGAGATTCCCGTATTCGATGCACTTTCTTCGCCAACATCTCCACTTTCATCAACGATTTCCTCCTTGATTAACCGTCAATTGAGCATTCTTTTACCTGAAAATAAGCAAAATTAGAACTTATGCATTAATATAAAAAAACACTAATCTATAAACACTATAAACACTTCAACCTATAAATTAAATCTATAAACACTTCGACTTTTTCATAATCATACGTAATTCCGAATACAAAAAGAATCGCTGCACCAAATTTATTGGTTTAGATATCTCCCGCCAATAATCAGCCATCGGTTAAAAAATCTTTACACGAAATTTTAAACTCTTTATTCATCCTGCATCCAAATAATGGTTTGAACGAATTGGCACTCCTTTTGTTTCATAGTTCTTAATTTTCTCTAGAGGAGCGTTAGGACGAAGACCCCCTTCCCCTCTAAACCTCTTCCTCTTACAGTACTCCCTTCCCCTCTAAACTTTTAAAAGATGCGACATATCATACTTTTTGATACTTTTTTTACTGCTATCTAACCTATATATAACTTTGAAAAGTCAGTCTGTCTGTCGGAGCTCTAGCTTCCTTCGGCTGATGAGAAGAAGGGAACGAAAAAGAAAGATCAAGCCTTGGAAAACAGAAAGCAGAAAACAGAAATTGGAGAGGAACAAGATGAGAATGGAGACACTGACGACGATCCATTTGAAGTGGAAGGAAAAATCCCGAGTAACATCGATGAATTGCACAAGGCTTTCATCTGTTGGTTGAGAGAACCCGAACAAGAAGAGCTTCTTCTACATTGTCTACAACTTAAACCTGTAGCATTTGATGAACTTTATCTACAGATCAAAAAGGCTGATTCTGCAATTTGTGGGATGTCGAAAAAAGCGCTGTCGGAGATAATGAATCGAATTCCAATTACTTTTCGAGCACCTCCAAGAACTCGTCGAGGTCGGAAGGGGAAAAATAAAGACCTTGTATTTATTTGACTAGTGTATGCTTATCTATGCGAATAAAACTGCGACCAAAAGAATAAAATACGTCTCAACATTTTCAATAGATACCCGCTTAAAACGTAGAGTGACCAATAAAGATTTACTGCCACTACACTCAAAAAACAAGTCCGAACTCGTGGCAATTTCTAGTTTCGCTGTCAAAGCATACATTGTGGTTGACCACTAGCCCTTAAAAGCAGTAAAATCATGAACGTAACGTCTTTCTTGTGTAACAATTTGTCTCAAAGAAATAACATTTTATCAACAAGAAAATGTTTTACGAAATAAAGGTTTATACTTCATCCGATAAGGGTGGACGCTGTGCTGCTCTCGTATCTAAACACGAGCTATGAATAAAATGTCTTTACTCTCATACCTCCAAGATGGGGGAAGCGCTTTGGAAGTTTTGTAGTAACGAGCAAGACGGTGAATTCGGCTCTCGACAAGAATCAATCGGTATTTCGAATCACGGTCCTTGCGGCATCGCTCGAGATGTTTCCGGATGCTGACGGCCTTTTTCACCAAATGATAAAGATCTTCGGGGATCTCTGGAGCCATGCCCTAAAGTTTACATGTTAGCTTGTAAAATTTAAATTCAAAAGGTTATCTACCTTGCAAACGTTGCTTATTTCTAAGTTTTGAGCTAGGAAAAAAGTAGTATCATTCGACAAAATAGAGTATGGTTGGGTCAATCAGGAGTGAGTTTTTTAGGAAACGGCCAAAATACGGACCCCCTGAAATTTGGTGTATTGGGTTGGAAGGTAGGTTCTGTCTGTTTTTTTGGAAAGTTTCTTAAACTCAACCAATTTACACGTGTTTTTTCTCATTCAAAAGCGGAATTCAAGACGGAAAAATGAGGAAAAACCGTTTTTGAATTCATAAAGTTTAGAAGTTTTTACAGGCGCTTTACTGTAGGTTCTTAAACTCAACGTTGCGAAATTGCGTTTTAATAGTTTTGTTTTGTTTGAAAAATAGATTAAAAACACGTTATTCGTACCCAGCCCATTAAATTACCCTTAGAAACTCATTTTGAGATTTTTGCAAAAAAAGTGAAAATTTTTGCCGCGACCCGGAATCGAACCCTTGACATTTTGGGTAGTACGTTGCAAACTTGGAATTTGATTACGTAGTTTGAGTGTACAATCTTCTCGACGAAAAAGTCAGAAAAAAGAATCGACCCAGAGCTCCATTGAATTCGAAACCTTCGAAGGGCGCAGCTACTGGGACTTTTTAATATCAAGATAATACATAAAATATCATTCGATAGCATATTTTTTTGTGCATCTTTTGAAGGATGAGCTATTGTGTATGGCTTATTGGGTCGTGAGGAAACATAGAAAGTGTAAAGGGGGAGAGTAGTTCCCCTAAAGACTCCCCCTAGGTTCCAATTGCAATATTCTGGGATTCCTCCGAGCCACCCACTCTCCAATTAAAAACAGTAAAACTAATAGTGCCCTCTAATGGTATCCCACCCTAGAGGGGGAGAGAAAAAATAGCACCCCATAGGGTTCAATTACAGTATTTACGGCATGTCTACCCTGGATTGTTTTCTTTCTCTTTCTGCTCCGTTTGCTTATAGCAGGAAATTATCGTGAACACGCATTGATTGTTTCATTTTAGGGACTTCTCTGCGTCAATTTTCTTATCTGGAACAGCATATTCTCTCCACAAAACTTTCTTCTTTACAACGGCTCGTCTGTGAGTCTTTTTCATTTTTACTTGAGAACATTCGGCTTATCAAACTTTAACATTATTGGGATGGAACTATGTGGTTTTGTCCCAGTCAAAAGCAGGCCATTGATTTTTTTGCTGATGCATCATACAAATGACTTGATATCTCCAATTTTTGTAAAATTTATTTGAAGTTCTTTGTCAAATTTCTTTTCTTGCCTAAGATATCGAAACACGGTTTTCCCAGAATTTTGCAATGTGTCGTAAGAAAAAGGGAGTAAAACTGAAAATTCAGAGAGGGGTACACTCGAAGGCTAATGTCTAGAAATGTATAAATGCAATGTATAAAAATATAAAAATGTATAAATGCACAGAAAATTGAAATATTCAGTTAATTAAATAAATAGGACTAAACTGGCTTAATAAGATACAAAAGGATTTTTGGCGCAAAAGTTGCCACAATATTTTCGGAGCTGCTCTTGATGGTTGTTTTTGTTAGCTTCATTTGTTAGCTAGTCCATTTTTAGGGCCATCATTTATGCCGGATCGCTATCTTCCGTCGTCGATCACCGTCTTGCTCGTCGTTTTCGCTTCTCTTCATCGATTCAACTAGTGGGTCACTCGGGGATTGGCTCGTAAGTGGTTAAGCCTAACTAGGAAGAAGTAAGGGTAGATCTGCGTTGCTTTGTGACTGTTAGAAGTAGCGATAGAAAGAAAAAGAAGAAGTAGGAAGAGGAAAAGATGAAAAAGAAAGAGAAAAAAGAAAGGAAAGAAGAAAAAGGGAATGAAGAGGGAAAAAAGATGTCTAAAAAGCCAAAAAGCTCAATGTAGTTCTTAAAGTATCCCCGAAATCACATAAATTTCGTACTTACGTATCCTTTTTCTCATTTCCCTGGCAAAATCTCCGATAATTTCTTTCTCAGTTATCCTGCATATTTTGATTAAAAAGACGGGATGGTTTCTGTTCCGCCTTTTTGATAGGAAACCTGCTTTTTTCCGACGGAAAATAAAGACGAAGATTGAACAAATTGGGAAAAAAACTATTGGAAAATTCATTTTCTTCTTTTGCTTTTCATTCTTTTCTTGTTGTTCTGCGTAGTTTAAGCCTAAATGTTACTTTTTAGGCCAAGTTTAGTAGATTTTATTTGGCTCTAACCTATCTAGAATGAGTCTTTTGAGTGATTGGATTAGAGAATCTGAAAGTTTTATAGCTTTTGTTGAATGCTTTTTGACTTTGATTTGCCGAATTTGCTTCTTTTGGGGCTTTACAGATAAATGGCTTTGCAATAATCCTTAGCTGACTGTCAATTTCACTGATCTGTTGCCATTCAGTGATCCGTAAAGCACCCCTTTTGTCAACACAAAGTCTAATCTTTTCTATTTACAGGTAGAAGAATGGCGTCAATCGAAATGCCGTTTGAAATGCCGAATCTGAACATGTTCCCGATGGAGAAGTTGTGTTTCGATTTGAAGTTGGAAGTGTTGGAACAAATGGAACCATTGGATGTGCTAAAGTTGGCCAAGGTGAATAAAGAATTCCAAGGGATGCTCGTGAGGGATTTGTCGATCATTTTTGGAAAACATGTTTCTCGGATTGAATTATGCGGATCAAGAAGGATGCGGATCAAGAAGTTTTCCAATTCAGATGCAATGGAGCTCAATGACGATCGTCCCTTTTCTCACTTTTCTTTCATCAAGAATATTCGGTCGTGCGATCGCTTGTTGTTCCGGAAGAATCAAATCAACGAGAAGTGCACACTTCTGAACAATTTGAAGTCGGTGAATCGATTAGAATGGAATTCACAAGAACCCCTCGAGAAATTCTTCTCAGATTTCCACGCATCGATCAAGAAAAAAGCAGAGCTGAATATTGGCTTTGATGTAGGCGATAAAGATGATCAAGTGATCAAAGATCTCATCGAGAATTTCATTGTGACACAACTCAAGGATTGCGAGAAGATTGAAATTGTGTTTCAGCATTATTCCGAAGATTTATTTTGCTTTTACTACAACGCCTTGCTGAAGACTCAGATCAAAAATGTTTATATGCCTGTTCATTCATACTCTTCACACATTAGCTACATTGATTGGATTTCTCAACAGATCGTCACCAAAGGAATCCCGAGCAAGAACCCTGAGGCTGCTATCTGGATTCTTTCATATCACGGCCTCACGATAGATCTCTCACAATCTCCAGGGATGCGACGAATCGATGGAGAGAATCGTCTTCGACTTCTCAAACAGGCAAACGATCTTTTGGAAAATTTTGGAATCGTCATGGAAAGCTCAATCTTCCGTCGGCGTATTGATTCGACCAAAGACTGCATCTACGTGTACCAAAAGAGATATAGGCCGTGTATTCATCGCTATTTCTTCTTGGCCTTCTACGTCTCGATCGATTAAAATGATTAAAATCACTCTTTGATGATTCATTATATCTTCTAGTGGCTTTCTATCATTGTTTCCATTTTTTGAATTGACAGACTATTAGTGTTCACAAGAACCCTTCGAGAAATTCTTCTCAAATTTCCAAAAAGAAAAAAGCTGTTATATTTGTTGCCTTTCACTTATTCAAAATAAAGTTTTAAAATCTTTTGTTAAATGAAAAGGAAACGATTTTACATTATCGGTACTTTTTCTCGTCTAATTGGCTGTGAAAGTGTTAATGCGTTCGGAATTTGTCAAATTTTTAAGGAAATCTCTGGTAATTTTTTTTCTTAGCTGTAAGCTTCTCAATCTTTTTCTCAGCTTTCTCAGCCTTTTCTCTGTGAAAGCTGCAATTTGCAAAGTTTTTCGCTTCAAAACCTTCCAAATCGGCATTTTACTACAGGGTGACCAAGAATTACCGCAACAACTTTTTGGACAAGTATCTGAGAAATGTCTAATTTATTTCAAAAGTGGCAAGTGTTTTACAGAGAATTGTAGGGCTAATTCTCGGCAACATTTACCTACCATAAACATCCCGATTGGACTTATACAACTCGTTTAACAAGCGCTTGAGTGAGCGCTAGTCGAGATCTCTCCGGCGAATCGGTCATTTGGCCACTTTTCTACATGAAAAAATTTCATTCGGAAAAGTTTTTCTCAGTCAAATTTGTGGTAATTTTGTCCAAAAAAAATCGTTTTCAACAAATTCATAGCGCCAGAACAGCTGATATAACGAGATACGCATATGAATTGAATATCGAAAATACTCAAATTTCCCTGCTCCTCCAAAGGAGCTTGACATGAACTTAAATTTTGGTTATGCCAGTCCAGCCAAAACATTTAAGTGTGATTCCTAATGTTATTAAGTGATATTAAACGCTATTTTTGCATTGGAGAAATATTAAAAAGCTTTTCTTAACAATTTTTAATAGAGAAAAGTGGCCAAATGACAGATTCGCCGGAGAGATGTCGACTAGCGCTCACTCAAGCGCTTGTTAAATGAGTTGTATAAGTCCAATCGGGATGTTTATAGTAGGTAAATGTTGCCGAGAATCAGGCCTACAATTCCCTGTATAACACTTGCCACTTTTGAAATAAATTAGACATTTCCCAGATACTTGTCCAAAAAGCTGTTGCGATAATTCTTGGTCACCCTGTACAAAAAACAAGCTCGGTCGCCAATTTATTTGCCATGCTAACATTTTTCTTTATTGCCGATTGGAGTGTGTAAACTTTGCAGGAAGAGGTTGTCGCTTTCTCAATAGATGCGCCGTTTTCTAAAAGGTTGCCAAATTGGGGAAACTACCGTAGCATTTTCCTTAAATTTTGACCATATTCGGATCCTCGAGCTCATCCTTATATCAGGCAAAGCGATTTGAAAGATTACTGTAGTTTTTTGAATTGGTTACTCTTACTCTTTTAGAAATAGGGATTACTCTACTTTTTGCTATAATTTTTCACAAAATTATCTAATTTGCATGATTTTTTTGTGTTATTCGACTCGGCAGAGAATTTCCAATCGAATGACGCCAAAAAGCATGCAGATTGGATAAGTCTATAAAAAGTTATGACAAAAGTACTTTGTGCACCTCTGGACATTTTGGGCTTACGGTCCGTACAGAAACGAGGCGTTTTATAACAATTTGAACTAATTTATTATGCTGCGATTCGTTCAATTCAATGCATTTACACGTACAACGGATACAACGCGAGGATTTTCGCGTTTTTAGGTGACTTTTTCGAAATGACAAATAGAAATAACAGAAAAATGTGATTATTTGAGGGAAATTTTGGGAAAATTCTCGAAATTTCTTTATCTTCTTCTTCTCCGTTTTCTTCGCCCGTTTCCACCTTGATTCTGATTTCCCTGAGTGTTCCCGTTGCCCTGATTGTTCTGGCCGGATGTCTGAAAGGTTGAGATTACGGTAGTTCGAGCAAAACTTAATTCTGGTCAGCAGACGGATACGCTTTTCAACAGATTTAGGCGTATTTAAACTTGCTGAAGTTGTACTTCGAAAAACCTACCGTCTCTCTGACTCCCAGTTGCTTTTTAAAGAAAAGAAGTAAGGACAAGATTATTGTAATTCTTGACTTTATTGGGTGGATGTCTGAAAGATCAAGGATTACGGTAGTTTGAGCTACCGTACCCAAACCTTTTAAACCAAGGTTTGCTATAAAAGTCGTTATTGACTCACGTTGCTACACATCGTGTATGCCTGGGCGGTACTTGACGGATTGGAGACGAATGGCGATGGCATCGATGAGTAGACATAGCAAAGACCATTCGCTTCGGGTTCGTAGGTGAAAAACTGAAAATTGGGATGAGTCTGAGCTTTTTGAACTTGCTAACGTCAATTCTGGAACGCACAAAGTAGTTCCCAATAAAAGGTAGGCTCAAATTTTAAAACTATGAGACAGTACTATTTTTGAGCTTCTAGATCAGGCTCGGAAATTCTCGTAAATTCTAAAAAGTTATAAAACTTGCCACAAAGTAAGCCATGGACCTCACAGAAGGTTTTTAGCTGCGCAACTGTTCACTTACCACACAATGGTCCAAGCCATAATTGTTGTAGCAGGCTTGATAACACGATTCGACATACGAGAGATAGCCGACGAATTTCCCTTGCGCAACCGAGTCCAAATCGAAATTCGATGTTTCCAACTGGTAGCCGTTGGGACAGGCTGAAAATTGGGGAATATTATAAACGTAGAAATTACAGGGAATCTAGAAGAGTTGGGTAACTAAACCAGAAATCCCGGGGTGCCCAGAAAGTTCAAAAACTTGAATCTGATCGCGCCAAGTTTTCATGTGCCCTCCAGCTAGGCGAAATACAAAAAAATTATCGAGATCCCGCTTTTGGGAATGAAGTTATAAAGTCGGCAAGGTTTTACCCGTTGAAAATGCAATTATCATACGATTCTCAGGAAAATTTGCATTTTAAAGCTTGTGATTCTGCTTATTTTTAATCTTTCTACAACCCACTTCCGGGATTCGGCGTTGTTGTGGTAGTGGCGATCGTTTGCGTCGTGGTCGTCGTTGTAGTGGGACTAAAAGTCGAGATCAGCTCAAAATATTCAGAAATCCCAAAGAAATCTTTTTAAAAACCGTTTCAATATCGATTCTGGGTGCCATTATACAATTTCTGTATGACTCAAGTCGTTAACTCACGTTGTCGTTGTCGGCGTCGTGGTCGGCGTCGTGGTCGGCGTCGTGGTCGGCGTCGTGGTCGGCGTCGTGGTCGGCGTCGTTGTCGGCGTCGTGGTCGGCGTCGTTGTGCGCATTGTTGTCGTAGTAGTGGTCCTAAAATTGGGCAATCGCTTAGCTGGATAGCACACCATATTTTGAGCAAAAGAGATTTTAGATTTGACGAATAGGCAAAACATGTCTGGGTACTGGTTTCAAGCTCGACATATTAGTGGCGGATTGGTGCAGCCACCGAAATTGGTTATTAGCTTTTCTTTGGATCTGGATGGCACACTAGATCTTGTGCTATCCAGACGACAAGTTTTCCTTTCAAAAACGAACGTTGGTTTGGTGGTTGTTGTTGTCGTTGTACTCGTACTCGTAGTTGTGGTTGTGGCGGTTGTGGTAGTTGGACGAGTGCTAAAACAGCTCTAGGATAAAATAGCAGCTCTGTAACATACGTAGTTGTGACCGGAGTCGTGGTAGTTGTGATCGGAGTTGTGGTTGTTGTAACCGGAGCCATCGTTGTTGTGGTCGTTGGTGGCCAACTGAAAAAGTTAGTCTTTTTGCTTCCATGCGTTCCAGCTTGACGAAAAATGAAGAAGATATTCAAATACCGTATTTGTCCTAATAAGCCCCCCTTCAGAGGGGTATCAAAAAGATAAACTTCCCGGGGCGCTTAAGAAAGTAAAAGATAGCTTTCTAGAGACTAGAGAGTGCTCCGGTTTAATTACCCAACTAGTTACTACAGTATGTCACAAATCAATGCAAATTTTACGTCAACCCACGTTGTGCGTTCCAGCTCACCAAAAATGAAGAAAAGATTTCAGTATTCATTTCCTAGAGCTCATCAATTGCCCCCGGTTTAGTTACCTAACTTAAACCACACTACTACAATGTCACAAATCAATGCAAATTTTACGTCAACCCACGCTGTGCGTTCCAGCTTTGCCAGAAATGAAGAATATATTTTCTATGCATTTACTAGAGACCATAGATCGCCCGGGTTCAATTCCCCCACCATTTTCCAAGTCAACTCACGCTTGTGTCGTTCCATTGAGTCCACAGAAAGCGTAAACAGTGGTGTTGCTCATCTGTGCGCCCACGTTTTGACAGGCATTTACTTGCCAATCCTGCTGGAACACTGTGCAATTCCCGCGGCCACCATTAGGGTTTGGAGTGAAAGCGAAACTGGAAAGGATTGATTGTCGAAGCTACCGTAATCTAGACAAAATCTTGCGAAAATATAAAGTACGGTAGCTTTTTCAAAGCGGTACGATAGCTTTTTCAAAGCGGTACGATAGCTTTTTCAAAGCGGTACGATAGCTTTTTTGGAAAAACCTCTAAAGCAAGGGTTTTATTCTAAAAAGACAGAAAAAGCGTTTCGGTTTAACCCATTCGAAACTTCTGCAGCGAATAATCGCTGCAGCAAAAACTCAGGAACGGGCCGCCGCAGCGATTATTCTAATTGAGCAGCTAATTGAGCTAATTGAGCTATTGAGCTATTGAGCAGCTAATTGAGCTATTTTCATTCAATTAATTGGTTTTTTTTGCTGTTTTCCAGCATTACATGTATATTCCAATTGTAATAGATCTACAAATTAAGTGGGCAAAAAAGATGTGTCATATTTACCCGGAATCAATGCAACCTCTGGTTTTGCATTGAAATGTTCCATAATAGCTCTAGCTCTAGCTCTAGCTCTAATCTAGCTCTAATCCTATAAAGCCGATCACCTGCAGAATCCAGTTCATTATCACAAAAACGCAGGTTTTGAAGAATAGATTCAAATTTTGCTCTTGACATAATGTGGGAGATGTGGGAAAATCCTCCTAATCCAGGCCTGCTACTCCAGTAGTCACGAATCGTCGGTAATTTGACGATTCCCATTTGAAGATACAGAGCCAGGAAGAGCTTGAAAGATTTTGCATCGAAATCCTGCCAGTTTGTTTTCCTTTTTCCATGTTTATTAGATTCGCCTACTAACATATCGATTAATTTGGTCGTCGATAAAATAAGAATAATAATCGATAGGATCGTGAAAAGTACTGAAGTCAAATCCAAATCGTACTTCATCAAAAATAAATGGTGTAGGAGACTCTCTTAAATCTTTCCAACCATCTGGATAAACTGCTTCGGAGTCAAAAATGTCAAAAAAAGGCTTGGTCCGCAGACGAAAAAAAAGAAAAAACGCTGCGGTTTCGAATGGGTTAATTACCCAACTCCCAAGTGGAGACTAGGAATTTCAGCTATTGGTTAAGCTTTTTGACTCACCCGGAACACCCGAGATTCCCGTAATCCCATGTGCAGAGCTGAGAGCAATCCTCGGCTCCGTAGAAATAGCCACCGAAGCGGCCGTTCGCCTGCGAGATGTCGGCGGTGATGACGACAATTGCATATCCGGGCACATCCGAGGGAGGACCCGAGCATTGTGGCCATTCTGGAAACGATGATTGTGAATGGGTACTGTGCATCCCAGGATTGGGTTTGACGTCAAGAAAAGTGATTGTAGTCTCAATATTTGGCGAATTAAAAGATACAATGAACTAAGGTAGTATTTAAACTAAAATCATTCAGATTTTACGTTTCCCGTCAAATTCCTAACAGCTAATTTTTTCAAAAACCCACGATTCGGATTATTTGTGACAGTCGTGGTGGTGTCCGATGCTGGTGTCGTCGTTTTTGTTGCCGTTGTCACGCTAAAATTATTTTTTCATCAATTTTTGCCCAATCTGGAAAGCATTGGGACCAATGAGTATAAAATAAATCAAGAATTCGAAAATTTCCTACCCCGTTGTTGTTGTTCCTCCATTGACTGCTGTTGTCGTGGTAGTGCTAAAGATAACAAGTAAAATTGATAACTCCAAATTGCAGCGTGCGTTCCAGCTTACATTACACAAATTTGTTCTTTTCGTTGTACTGTTTGCTAAAGGCTATAAACACACTCCACCTAATGCACCAAGTCATCACTTACTTCCCCTGGGGAAATCTGGGAATTGCAGTGCGCCAGAAAGGCTGTGTTTACACATTTTGAGTATAAGGTCATTTTGTTGATACCTAGGGGTTGTTGTGACTGGGAGTGCGGTGGCTGTCGGAGTGGTGGTGAGTGTCGGAGTGGTGGTGACTGTCGGAGTGGTGGTGACTGGTGGGTTGACGGGGGTGGTCGTGGTCGTGAATTGGCTGAATTCTTGGGTGACCTGTGTTCCATAAAAAGCTGTTGTGTGCGCACAATGACTCAGTGAGTTACAAAACGTTCTAGAGTCCCGGTTCTAGAGAGCGTTCTAGAGTGCCAGTTCTAGAGTGCCATCAGAGTTCAACTGGGCGCCAAGTGACGCCAAGTGACGCCAAGTGACGCCAAGTGACGCCAAGTGACGCCAAGTGACGTCAAGTGACGCCAAGTGACGCCAAGTGACGCCAAGTGACGCCAAGTCAGGTCAAGAAGACCAGAAGCCGGCCATCAGTTGGGTTCAACCCTGATTTCTGATGATCAGAGCTATCAAGTGCCACTTGAAGTGAGTATTCTGCTAAAAGCTTACATAATCGTTGTGAGTGTGCTCGAGAAAGAGTTGCACATTCGATAAATGGTCGCATTGCTCTCCGCCGGAGTGAGACTCGATGCATTGGTGATCTAAAAGGAATCGTTGTTATATTGAAAGTATTCTTTTTGATTTCTGTTGCAAATCCAGTCGGTACCGTAAAAACTCTAATAGAAGCCCTCCTCTTTGACCCCGCTAAATATTGATTTTTTGGGACATTTTTTGGCGGGAATTGATAGAATTGAGCATAAATATGCCAAAACTATCAAAACTAGCAATAAAATTGGTTTTTCAGGAAGATTTCAGGAGGCTCCGGGTAAGAAAGTATTTGAAAATACTTAAAACCTGTACTAAAAACGTTTTAAGCCAAGGGCTATCGTTTAAAAAGTTTTTAAAGAAAAATAAATTTTTGATTCACTTTTGATTCATGTGGGGGACCCTTACCTATTTTCTTGGCCGACCTCAAAATCCTCAAAATCTTGAGGGGTTGAAAAATAGAAGCTCCGGGGCTTCCATTAGAGTTTTGACGGTATTTGTACGGTCAGTATTGCCCAGGGATATTTTAAGATCTCCGTCTTTCTTTCTTCCTTTCTTCTTCCCCTTGTCTTTCCGTCCATTTTTATTGGTGTGCCTTATTCACCCGACCTAGCACCCTCAGATCACCATTTGTTTCGATTGTTAAAGCGATTCCTCTATGGAAAACTTCTCGATGATCAGTCAAAAACGCATTTGATTTCTACTTTGCTCAGAAGGACGCCCAGTCTTTTTTGAGAATGGTAACAAGGAATTGCGCTAAAGGTGGCAAGAAGTCATCGATAATAATGGAGAATACCCTTTTTGGCTTCAAACTTTTGATGCTTTTGTGGGGCTTTGAACAAGCTTTGGCTTCTAGAACACTGAGAAATCCATTGGGTTGAGGTCTGGAGAGCTAGGTGGCTTCTAGAACACCACTCAGAAAAGGAAATGAACTCCGGGAAATTGTTTTGGCAGAACTCTTGAACTTTCTTTAATTTGTAAGCCTGTTTTTCGCAGCATTCGAAAGAAGTTTAGGCTTGTTTTTTGTATGCAGTAAGTTTGAGCTTATTTTTGAGGACCCGACGCAATGTGGTGCTTAAAATCGCCAGAAGGACGCCAGAAGAAAGAATGGTATCAAGGAATTGCGCCAAAGATGGCAAGAAGTCATTGATAATAATGGAGAATACCTTTTGGATTAAGAAAACCTTTTGGAGTTCTTTTTTGCGTTCTATGAAATAAACAAGTTGTTGCCTAAAACTATCGTTTATAACTTGCCAACCCAATAGCTTATCTTCGGGATCTGGATGGTAAACTAGATGATAGCCATCACCTGAACTAGATGATAGCCATCATCCAGAACAAGGAGTACTATAAGTCTACGAGTTCGCGACAGTCCAAATATTACTGTAGCTCACCTGATAGTCATACTGATAGATGATACATTTCCCGCGCCCCGTCCCCGTGACAAAAGCGAATCCGATGCACGGCAAGAGTCCATAATTGTATGTGCACAGCTGGGCACAATCGTCGGGACCCATAAATTGACCGCCATACTTCCCCGGTGATGCTGCCATGTCAGCGTTGTAGACCACCGGCTCGAACGCGGCACCCGCACCACATGAGAGATCTGGAAAATAGGATTTGTTTTGGGTGATGTGCATCTCAGGATTGGCTTTGGTGTAGATAAAAATTTTTAATATTTAATATTTGGCGATTTTTGAGCGTTGAAGCGTTTTACTGGTATACCTTACCTCTTCAAAAACTTGTTACTCGAGATTTGCAAAGCTTATTGGCTATTGTGCATCCCAGGATTGGCTTTGGTGCTGCTAATTGGATATTTTTAAATCAACGCGGGTGTTTTTCGAATGCAATGGTGATTTTACTTACTTCCCGGTGTTCCAGTACTTCTCGTCGTCGTGACTCCTCCGCTGGGTGTGGTTGTCGTTGTGCCCCCTCCTCCAATCGTCGTTTCTCCTGTTTCTGTCGTTTCTCCACCAGTGCCTCCAGTGATAGTGAGAGCTGTAATTGCTCCTGTGCCAACTAAGCAACGAACACTTGATAGTCAGTCACTCACAGTGATCCAGACCGACAATTAAAGATCTTCGAGCTATTGAAGAGACACTCTGACAGTTCCAAATGCCCCAGAAACCAAAACATGTATAGCCAGCTCCAAAGCTTCTCCACTTCAAGGCAAAGAAACACTCATTCAAAAACTCAAAACTTAAGCACTTTAAACACTCCTTAACGAGTCACAATCAGCCTGCCAGTGGCTTGTCAAAGACTGAAGCAAGCACTATAGCAAGTTAAAGATGGTAAATTTAGCCTTGGCTGACCTCTGGCTGGCCTTAATGTCTAATGGCTAGGAAAAGCAATTCTATCAACTTATGTAAAAATGTAGGCAATGTAGCAAACTTTTGCACGTTTGTGAATGGCTATAAAATCAAAGCACACAAATTTTTGGCACACCTGTCACTTGTTTAGTTAGGATTTTGAACACAGCACTCGTTACGGTGAAACTCCCGTACCTGTCGCTCCTCCAGTTTCTCCCGTAGCTGTTGTTCCTCCTGTTTCTCCGGTAGCTGTCGTTCCACCAGTCTCCCCAGTGGCTGTGGTTCCTCCCGTTTCTCCGGTAGCTGTCGTTCCACCAGTCTGCCCACTCGGTGTTGTACCTTCAGTTCCACCTAAACACCTCACTCACAAGAGAACGGCAACAGTAGGATGTAGTCAAATGAGATAAGCCATAGACCATTCGACAAAGAATTTCACGCTAATTCCGAATCTGCTTCCCGTTTTTGCAAAATGGCTTTCTATAATGCTTTATCGAATGCTCTATGGCTTATCACATTTGGCCACATCCTACTGTTGCCTTTCCCTTTTCAGTCACTTCAAAGAGTCACTTGGTTTTTAGACACACTAAACACCGCAACACTGACACTCGAGTTAGACAAACGGTGCACCTGTGGCTCCTCCGGTTTCTCCAGTTGGATCTGTTGCTCCAGTGGCTCCAGTTGCAGCTGTTGTTGCTCCAGTGGCTCCAGTTGCAGCCGTCGTTGCTCCAGTGGCTCCAGTTGCAACCGTCGTTGCTCCAGTGGCTCCCGTTGCAGCTGTTGTTGCTCCAGTGGCTCCCGTTGCAGCCGTCGTTGCTCCAGTGGCTCCCGTTGCTTCAGTCGTTGCTTCAGTGCCACCTGTAGCTCCTCCAGTCTCTCCAGTTGCACCAGTCTCTGCAGGAGTTGGCCCAGTACCACCCGTAGCTTCTGTTCCACTTGGTGTTGTGCCTCCAGTGCCTCCAGTCTCTCCAGAGGTTGAGCCAGTACCGTCTGTGGCTTCTGTGCCACCTAAACACCCCAGTGAGTCACTATAAACGGTTTTAGGATAAAACAGCTTGCAGCTTTGCGAAATCATAACAAAACTCGTGTACCAACAGCAAAATAACTTCAAAAACCGAATACTTTTCTTTCACTTCACTCAGCCATGTCAACTGCTCTCCTTTTGGTCCGTTTGCCGTTGGCAATCTACGAATTCGTACTTTTGACCTGGTTTGTTTGAAAAACGTTTTGCTTTCATTCGATAGAAAAATAAAAATTGATTTCGAGTCGAATGAAAGCAAATTCAACGTTTTTCAAACAAACCCGGTTAAGCTATGATTGTAGATTGCCAACGGCAAGTGGACTGAAAAAGGGGCGGAGGTAGCATGGCTTCCTTTACTTCATTAAACAAAACACACGCAAAAATTAGGAATGCCTATTTATCTGGCACAGTCAATACCTGTCGCTCCACCAGTTTCTCCCGAGGTTGATCCAGTGCCTCCAGTACCTCCAGTACTTCCAGTACCGCTTGGTGTTGTACCTCCAGTGGCCCCACCAGTGCCTGAAAGCTCCTAATTCCTTCAATCACTATAATTTAATATTGTAGTGTTGCTGATGGTTTTGATTTTCCTTTTACTTTAACCCTTATGGAACAATTCAGACATGTGTTGCACAGCAAGCACTGATCACGGCAAAACAACTCCCGTGCCTGTTGATCCGCCCGTCTCCCCAGCTGTCGAACCTCCAGTACCACTTGGAGTTGTACCTCCAGTTCCTCCAGTACCATCTAAACAAGACCTGACATGACTATCAAGAATTATCAATCTTTTAGAGTGGCCGGGAGGAGCTATTGCTCAACACTGACATTTCGGATTGTCGGTCGCATAAATTGTAAAAATAGCTTCTAGAAACCTTAGCAATCTTTATTAATCATGTTTGATAATATTGATAATTTTTGATAGTCATGTCTATCACTCATTCACTTCAAGCAACACTTTGATGCAGATTGTTATTGGATCGTTTTCTATTGGTGCTCCCCAGAAAAAGTTACTGTAGCCCGTTTTCTAAAAAATCCTCTCGGGACTATATTAAAAGAGCGCCACCAAAAGAGCTCCGTTCAAAAGAGCGCCACCAAAAGAGCTCCGTTCAAAAGAGCGCCGTAATCAAAAGGACGCTGTTCCAAGAGCGCCACCAAAAGAGCGCCGTTCAAAAGAGCGCCGTAATCAAAAGGACGCTGTTCAAAAGAGCGCCACCAAAACAGCGCCGCCAAAAGAGCTCCGTTCAAAAGAGCGCCTAGGCAAGATTAAATTCGTTGTAGAACCATTTAACCATGGTTAAATAGAAGATATGCAAAAAAAGATGAAATTGTTTTGATTAACAATTGTTCTCAAAGTTGCGGAAAGATGGGATACCATCACCGGCAAAATTCAAATCAGGGACGAAATTTCATCTTTTTTTGCATATCTTCTATTTAACCATGGAATCTACAGCGGATTTAATCTTGCCTAGGCGCTCTTTTGGTGGCGTTTTCGAAAATTGCCCTCAAGAAAGAGTTACCGTAAACCGGTATGACCCAAAAGCGCCGAATAGAAAACGTTTTCCCCTCAACAGAAATCTAACAAACAACATGACCACAGCAAACTTTTGTGCACCTGTGGATCCTCCAGTTTCTCCGGTGGCTGTGGTTTCTCCCGTTGCACCAGTTTCCCCGGCTGTTGGGCCAGTGCTGCCAGTGCCACTTGGTGTTGTGCCTCCAGTTTCACCCGTTTCGCCAGTTTGTCCAGCAGTTGATCCCGTGGCTTCTGTTTCGCTTGTACCACCTGAAAAAGCCAGAAACTCAAAAAAATTAGAAACACTTCAAGCTGCAAAGCCAAAGACACATCAGAGCCGTTCTTGACATGAAGAATCGGATCAGGTGATCAACCTTCCTTTGATCAAGCTTCCGACTACAAGCAGTGCACACCTGTTGATCCACCGGTTTCTCCCGTAGCTGTGGTTTCTCCTGTACCTCCAGTACTGCCCGTTTCTCCAGACGTTGACCCAGTGCCACCAGTGCCACTCGGTGTTGTGCCTGCAGTGCCTTCGGTGTCACCTGAACATCACACTAAAGCACTTCAATCAGTAGATTAGGTTACGGTAAGCATTGTTGTATTTAGTGAGCAATCTAGTCAACATAAATCTGTGACACCTGTCGTTCCACTAGTCTCCCCAGTGGCTGTGGTTCCTCCCGTTTCTCCGGTAGCTGTGGTTCCTCCCGTTTCTCCGGTAGCTGTGGTTCCACCAGTCTCCCCAGTGGCTGTCGTTCCTCCCGTTTCTCCGGTAGCTGTGGTTCCACCAGTCTCTCCAGTGGCCGTGGTTCCTCCCGTTTCTCCGGTAGCTGTGGTTCCTCCCGTTTCTCCGGTAGCTGTCGTTCCACCAGTCTCCCCAGTGGCTGTGGTTCCACCAGTCTCCCCAGTGGCCGTGGTTCCACCAGTCTCCCCAGTGGCTGTTGTTCCTCCCGTTTCTCCGGTAGCTGTCGTTCCTCCCGTCTCTCCGGTAGCTGTCGTTCCACCAGTCTCCCCAGTAGCTGTTGTTGCTCCCGTTTCTCCGGTAGCTGTCGTTCCTCCCGTCCCTCCGGTAGCTGTGGTTCCTCCCGTTTCTCCGGTAGCTGTCGTTCCACCAGTCTCCCCAGTGGCTGTGGTTCCTCCCGTTTCTCCGGTCGCCGTGGTTCCTCCCGTTTCTCCGGTAGCTGTGGTTCCTCCCGTCTCTCCGGTAGCTGTCGTTCCACCAGTCTCCCCAGTGGCTGTGGTTCCACCAGTCTCCCCAGTGGCCGTGGTTCCGCCAGTCTCCCCAGTGGCTGTTGTTCCTCCCGTTTCTCCGGTAGCTGTCGTTCCTCCCGTCTCTCCGGTAGCTGTCGTTCCACCAGTCTCCCCAGTAGCTGTTGTTGCTCCCGTTTCTCCGGTAGCTGTCGTTCCTCCCGTCCCTCCGGTAGCTGTGGTTCCTCCCGTTTCTCCGGTAGCTGTCGTTCCACCAGTCTCCCCAGTGGCTGTGGTTCCTCCCGTTTCTCCGGTCGCCGTGGTTCCTCCCGTTTCTCCGGTAGCTGTGGTTCCTCCCGTCTCTCCGGTAGCTGTCGTTCCACCAGTCTCCCCAGTGGCTGTCGTTCCTCCCGTTTCTCCGGTAGCTGTGGTTCCTCCCGTTTCTCCGGTAGCTGTCGTTCCACCAGTCTCCCCAGTGGCTGTGGTTCCACCAGTCTCCCCAGTGGCCGTGGTTCCACCAGTCTCCCCAGTGGCTGTCGTTCCTCC